AAAAATTTAATATAATCATATAAAATATTAATAATTTAATAACATCAAAATGGGTTACAAATGTAAGATTAAACTGCCAGTCATGGAAACTAAAGAATATGACAGGAAGCCTTTTAAAATTATCTGGGCATGGTGGTTGGCACCTGTAATCCCAGCTACTTGGGAGGCTGAGGCAGGAGAGTCACTTGAACCCAGGAGGTGGAGGTTGCAGTGAGTTGAGATCGCGCCACTGCACTCCAGCCTGGGTGACAGAGTGAGACTCCATCTCAAAAGAAAAAAGAAAAGGAAGTAGTATCTAAGGTTATAATTTGATCTTATATAAAGCTGTAAGGGGCTGGACGCGGTGGCTCATGCCTATAATCCCAGCACCTTGGGAGGCCGAGGCAAGTGAATCATGAGGTCAAGAGATCGAGACCATCCTGGCTAACATGGTGAAACCCCATCTCTACTAAAAATACAAAAAGAATTAGCTGGGTGTGGTGGCAGGCGCCTGTAGTCCCAGCTACTCGGGAGGCTGAGGCAGGAGAATGGTGTGAACCTGGGAGGCGGAGCTTGCAGTGAGCCGAGATTGCACCACTGCACTCCAGCCTGGGTGACAGAGCAGGACTCCATCTCAAAAAAACAAAACAAAACAAAACAAAACAAAAAAAGATGTGAGGATTCAAACATGTTTATGACAGATAAATGTGATCTTTAAATATAAGGATTCAAATCTGTTTATAAGAAATAAAGGTGATGCAACTTTTAGATATAGATTGCATACAAAAAGCCAAAAGGCACGATAAGGAATGACAGAGATGTGAAAAGAAGTTGGAAATTTATGTATAGGAGGTGATTTATTTAGCCAAAAGATGCAGAATAACTTTCTACATTTATAGGGCAATTACGGGGATGCAATGTGACCAATGGATGGATTTGGGTATACAAGCTTTTTAAACTTGAACACAGTCCTCTCAAGTACATTGAAACTTATATAAAAGAACATAAAATAGCGAAAAAAAAAAAGTACATATAAGAACATTCTTTATGTAATAACTTACATAAAAGAACTAAATGACAAATGCCAAAATTGGCAAAAACTCCAATGCTTATATGTTAAAGAATGCAGTAAAAAACATGAATAAAATCACTTTGAATGCATCATACAAAGGCCAAGAATTTTCATAGACAATTTCCAATAGAGTGATAAATGCCTAACAAACACAGATATAGTCAGTCTTACTAGTAAGGAAAAATTGCAAAGTAAAGGCCATTAATGCCCCAGTTTTCAACTATTAAATAAAATTTTAATTCATCTGAATACCTAGCATAAGAAAAGAGACTGAAAACTGTATGTTTCATAAACTGCTGTTGCCAGGTAGTAGTTGGAAAATATGTATTGGTCTGGATCTTTCTCATCAATAGGGAAACAAACTTAAATATATCCTTCTTAAAAATGAAAAATTGGCCGGGCCAGGTGGCTCATGCCTGTAATCCCAGCACTTTGGGAGGCCAAGGTGAGTGGATCACGAGGTCAAGAGATTGACACCAGCCTGGCCAACATGGCGAAACCCTGTCTCTACTAAAAATACAAAATTTAGCTGGGCGTGGTGGCATGCACCTGTAATCCCAGCTACTTGGAAGGTTGAGGCAGGAGAATTGCTTGAACCCATGAGGCAGAGGTTGCAGTGAGCCGAGATTTCGCCACTGCACTCCAGCCTGGGCGACAGAGCGAGACTTTGTGTTAAAAGAAGAAAAAAGAAAAAATGCCCTCACTTCCGTTTATATACCCCATAGCTAATACCCTACTTCTCTTTCCCACTTAATTGCAGTGATTCTTGGGCAGATGTTCTGCTTTCACTGGAACTACTTTAGACCTCACATTTTCTCTTCTAATTGGGCTTTTATTATCCTTACTTGATTGTCATCTATCACTCTCCATTGCTGAGTTCAACATGCACTTCCCTTCTTAGCATCGTAAATAAAGATACAAATCAATTCGTTCACCAAGCAAATACCCACAGCAGCCTCTTTACTCTGGTGTCGCCAGGATTGGCTCCTTCAAGATCTCGGGTCTATGCTCACAGCTTGCAATCTCCCTGATCCTTTTCTATGGTACCTATTGGACTCACCTTGTTGGGTTTTCTGAAATGAAGGTCTCAATCTAGAAGTGCAAATTCCTCCCTGGATGGTTGATGGTGGAGACTGAGGCTATGTCCCAAGACAAGACAGTAGGAGAAAGCAAAGAATCAGTACCCCTGAGTCAGCAGATATAGACTCTGAAAGAAACAAGGATGTCCCATCCAGCCCAAGGTTGCATATGCTGAGGGACACCTGCGGAGGAGAAATTTACAGCTTCGTATGCCTGCTCATTGGAGACATTTCTTCTTGTTATTCAACCCCTGATCACATCAAGTCCCTGTGGAACATTGCTCTTCATGGGAAGAACTTTTTTTCTTGCATACTCAGTTCCCAAGACACCAGATTAAACATCAGGTGAATCGAGTCTTTATTATTCCTTCTCCATGGATTTGTCTGCCTTCCAAAGGTCTAACCTCCTGTCCCTTCATTCTAATCCTGAGGGAAAGATCCTCCGAAGTTTAAACTGAGGAATCTTTCTTGACTAAGCCCCTTGAGTCTCCAAAGCATTGACTTGTGATCGGAACACAGGTTAAGAGCTGTCATTTAATCCTTCATTTAGGAAACATTTGATAATTGTCAGAGATATATTTACATCTTTTCATGCAAGTTACCCTTAGATTATCACCTTATAAGAGTGATCTCATTAATTTTTTTAAAAAAGTATTTATTTCAAGTCTTTGCTATTGTGAATTTTTTTTTTGTTTTTAATTTTTTTTTATTATACTTTAAGTTCTAGGGTACATGTGCACAACGTGCAGGTTTGTTACATATGTATACATGTGCCATGCTGGTGTGCTGCGCCCATTAACTCGTCATTTACATTAGGTGTATCTCCTAATGCGATCCCTCCCTACTCCCCCCTCCCCACAATAGGCGCTGGTGTGTGATGTTCCCCTTCCTGTGTCCAAGTGATCTCATTGTTCAATTCCCACCTGTGAGTGAGAACATACGGTGTTTGGTTTTCTGTTCTTGCGATAGTTTGCTGAGAATTATAGTTTCCAGCTGCATCCATGTCGCTTCAAAGGACATGAACTCATCCTTTTTTATGGCTGCATAGTATTCCATGGTGTATATGTGCCACATTTTCTTAATCCAGTCTGTCACTGATGGGCATTAGGGTTGATTCCAAGTCTTTGCTATTGTGAATAGTGCCACAGTAAACATATGTGTGCATGTGTCTTTATAGCAGCATGATTTATAATCCTTTGGGTATATCCCCAGTAATGGGATGGCTGGGTCAAATAGTATTTCTAGTTCTAGATCCTTGAGGAATCGCCACACTGTCTTCCACAGTGGTTGAATTAGTTTACAGTCCCACCAACAATGTAAAAGTGTTCCTATTTCTCCACATCCTCTCCAGCACCTGTTGTTTCCTGACTTTTTAATGATTGCCATTCTAACTGGTGTGAGATGGTGTCTCATTGTGGTTTTGATTGGCATTTCTCTGATGGTGAGTGATGATGAGCATTTTTTCATGTGTTTGTTGGCTGTATGAATGTCTTCTTTTGAGAAGTGTCTGTTCATATCCTTTGCCCACTTTTTGATGGCGTTGTTTTTTTTCTTGTAAATTTGTTTGAGTTCTTTGTAGGTTCTGGATATTAGCCCTTTGTCAGATGAGTAGATTGCAAAAATTTTCTCCCAATTATGACACAATTTTTAAAGAGGAAGATATTTGTTAGTACAACAGAAGGAGTGATATTTACAGGCAGTACTGGAAAATTTTAAGTAAAATGAGGAAGCTAATACGATAAAATTATATGGAGCATGACAGCAAATCTCTCAGATGAATGAACTTCATTACACATGGACACCAAGCTTTTATGCTTCAAATGTTCCACAGTAATTCCATATGTGACTGAAAGCTTTATTCTGTCATATTTAAGGTCATCTCTGAGGCTAAGGCCAGATGAAGTCAATTCATGTTTGCTAACTTGTCTTTCTGTTTAGATTACACTTGGAACATCTATTTTATAAGCACTTTTTGTCTTCCTTGTTTTTAACCAGAGAATATAGTGGGCATGGTAGATACCAAGCAGAATAGAAGACAGGATCCTAAGGAAGAGAATAAAATTCCAGGAGTAGCTATAAAGCACACTAGTATATTAAAGTGTACATTGTGAGGAGGACCAGTTAAGGCAGTGACAGAGAAAAAAATGCCAAATGGAAAAGTGAAAACCTGTGGTCTCAGCTAGGCATCCACAGTAAAATTATATTAATGGCCTTAGAGTGGCCATTCTTGGTTATCTGGTCTAACACAACTCATTACTCCATGAGTCCGATAGGAATCTCCACCTTGTTTCTGACCCTCGACTGGAAAGAGCTTTGCAAAAGTAGGAAAATGACAAAGGACAAAAAAACTGTTGGCTGTTTGAGAGCTGAAAACTTTTAAAGAAAAGGCATACGTTTTACAAAGCAGTTAAGATCATACGAATGGAAATCCTAAAAAATTAACGGAAGGAGCCACTTCTATTTTCACAATCTGACTAATAAATCACAGTTTCTGGGTCTGGGGCTTAGAACTCTGGAATCACAGACCCTTCTTGAAAAATGGCTGTTTTTAAATTTTTTTTTTATTTTTTTTAATTTTGAGACAGAGTCTTACTCTGTCTCCCAGGCTGGAGTGCAGTGGCATGATCTCAGCTCACTGCAACCTCACCTCCCGGGTTCCAGCGATTCTCCTGCCTCAGCCTCCTGAATAGCTGGGACTACAGGCATGTGCCACCACACCCGGCTAATTTTTGTATTTTTAGTAGTGATGGGGTTTCACCATGTTGGTCAGGCTGGTCTCGAGCTCCTGACCTTGTGATCTGCCCACCTCCGCCTCCCAAAGTGCTGGGATTATGGGGTGAGCCACCGCACCCGGCTGAAAAATGGCTCTTTTATTGTTTCCCTCTGAAGAATTGTGTCAAAGCCCCCTTTATGTCTTTATTCCTCAGACTGTAAATGAAGGGGTTGAGCATGGGGGTGACCACAGTGTACATCACTGAGGCGATAGCAGTTGAGTGTGAGTTTTGGGTCATAGTAGAGCTAAGGTACACTCCTAGCCCCGTACCATAAAATATGGAGACAACCAAGAGGTGAGATGCACAGGTGGAAAATGCCTTGTACTTCCCCTGAGTCGACGAGATTGCACATATGGAGGAAACTATTCTACAGTAAGAATAAAGGATCCCAATAAGAGGACCACCGTCCAGCAGCACAGCTGCAAAATACATCACCATGTCGTTCACAAAGGTGTCAAAACAGGCAAGGTGGATCATCTCATTAAGTTCACAGAAAAAGTGAGGGATTTCCAAGTCTGCGCAGAAGGACAACTGCAACATCATTAAGCTTTGTAGCATGGAGTTTAGGACACTCGTGATCCAGGACACCAGAATCAGCAGTCCACAGAGCTGAGGGTTCATGATGACCGTGTAGTGTAGGGGGTGACAGATGGCCACAAACCGGTCATAGGCCATCACGGTCAGGAGTAAGCTATCCAACACTATAAAGAGTACAAAGAAGCACATCTGGGTGATGCAGCCTGCGTAGGTGATGACTTTGCTCTGTGTCTGGATGTTCACCAACATCTTTGGGACCGTGGTGGAGGCAAAACAGATGTCTACCAAGGACAGGTTGGAGAGGAAGAAGTACATGGGGGTGTGGAGGTGGGAGTCTGAGATTGTGGCCAGGATGATGAGCAGGTTCCCAAGCACGGTGACCAGGTACATGGACAGGAACAGCCCAAAGAGGAATGGCTGCAATTCTTGTTTTTCTGAAAATCCTAGAAGAAGAAATTCTGAAATTTGTGTCTCATTCCCTGCTTTCACCTGGTTGATGTTTCTACAAAAACAAAAACAAAAAAACAAAACAAAACAAAACAAAAAAAACCCACACACACAAGAAAGAAGAGAACATGAGAAAAACATGCATTCCCAACCCACCAGCAATGCTGTCATACATATTCTACAGTGAAGAAGATACATTTTATTTTGTTTTTTATTTTTATTTTTTTGAGATACAGTTTTAATCTTGATTCCCAGGCTGGGGTGCAGTGGTGCAATCTCAGCTCACTGCAACCTCTGCCTCCCGGATTCAAACGATTCTCCTACCTCAGCCTCCCAAGTAGCTGGGCTTACAGGCACATGCCACCATGCCTGGCTAATTTTTGAATTTTTAGTCAAGACTGGATTTCACCACGTTGGCCAGGATGGTCTCAAACTCCTGAGCTTAAGTGATCCACCTGCCTTGGCATCCCAAGTGCTGGGATTGCAAGCATGGGAAGAAGTAGTATCTAAGGTTATGGTTTCATCTCATATAATTATATAAGGATTCCAATATTTGTGAGAGAGAAAGGTGGTTTTTAGTCAGATGATAAAGAATGATTACCAAAGGATGGTCAAAGGTCAAAGGTGATGCAACTTCTAAGAAGAGATCTAATACGAAAAGCCACAAAGCACAGTAAAAAATAAGGAGAAAATAAGTTGGAAATGCATGCATAAAAGGCAATTTATTTGTCCAAATGATGCAGAAGAACTTTCTACATTTATGTAACAATAAGGGGAGCACACTATGATAAATGGATTTGGCTACACAATACTTCTAAGCTTTCACACATTTCCCTCAAATACATTGAAAGTTACATAACAGTAATAAAAGACAAATGCCAAAATCGATGAAAAACTCCAAGTCTTATATTTTGATAAATGCAATAAAAACAGGATTAAAAATATTACAAACCCATTCTGCAAACAGAAAGTTCACGTACAATTTGCAATAGCTGTAAATGTCTAACGAATACACAGATACATTTAGCTTCACTAGTAAAAAAACGTGGCAAAGTAAAAGTTGCTAGTATATCACCTTTTCACCTATTAAATACGTTTTTTATTTCATTTGAATACTTAGCATGAGAGAAGATATTGCAAAATGTGTACCTCATGACTGCTGTTGTCAGGTAGTATTTGAAAGGAATTCATTGGTCTGGATCTTTCTCACCAATATGGAAAGAGAGTCAAATATGCCCCTTAAAAATAAACAAACAAACAAAAAAATCCCTCTCTTCAGTGTATATGTCTCCACAGGCGATTGACAGAACAGGAGCACCGTCATGTTGGACAACCACTACTGTAAGTTCCAGCTCTTTTTCTAACCTCATGCATCTTCGGAAAATCACTTCTCTTCTAACAACAAGCAGCCGGAAAAAGCAGACAGCAAAACACAGATAAGACAGTTCGGGCACAGAGGGAGGGGGAAAGTCTCTTGGGTAACCACCAAACCTGGCACTCACACAGTGGGTCCCAGTAAAACAGTGGGATCTAATAAGCACATTCTTTCCCCTTTAGGTGCACTAAGATAGGGAAGCTAAAAGCAGACTTGGGGGATACGCCTGCAGCTGCAAGAAGATGTATGGGAACAGGCACAAAAACTCTCTCTCCAGGTAAGCAAGACAAAGAGACACAGAAACATTCTGAGCCGGTGATAAGCTCTCCCACCTTGAGCCCTTAAAAACTCTTAGTGTATAAGAAAGAGTGCCTTGGCTGGCGCAGTGGCTCATATCTGTAATCCCGGCACTTTGGGAGGCCAAGGCAAGCAGATCACGAGGTCAGGAGTTTGAGACCAGTCTGGTCAACATAGTGAAACCCCATCTCTACTAAAAATACAAAAAATTAGCTGGGTGTGGTGGCAGGTGTCTGTAGTCCCAGCTACTTGGGAGGCTGAGGCAGGAGAATCACTTGAACCTGGGTGGCAGAGGTTGCAGTGAGCTGAGATTGCACCACTGCACTCCAGCCTGGGCAACAGTGTGAGACTCCGTCTCAAAAAAAAAAAAAAAAAAAAAAAAAAAAAAAGACTACCTCTGACCTAACTCAGCCAGAAGCCCCTCTCATGTTTGTCCTCCAAAATAAACCTGTCTTTGACAATTGAGCTGCTTTTCATGTTTCTTTCCTCTTTCTTTAACTATTACAGTAGTACCCTATTTTTCATCTTCACTTAATTGTAAAGATCCTTGGGCACAGATGCTGCTTTTACTGGAGCCACTTTAATCCTCTCATTTCCTCTCCTAATTGGGCTTCTATTACTATTACTTCATTGTCAACAATCATCTTCCAATGCTGAATTCAATGTTCACATTTCTTTTTAGTATCCTAAATAAATACCTGAATCAATTAATTAGTCAGGCAAACTAGCAAACAACCACAACAATCTCTCCACTCTAGCACTGGTTGGATTGGCTCTCAGGTGACCTTAGGTTCACGTTCACAGTTCCATTCTCCCTGACCCTTTCCCGCAGTACCTACTGGACTCTTGGGCTTACCTTGACTGGTTTTCTGAAAGAAAAGTCGCCATGTGGAAGTGTGAATTCCTCCCTGGATGGTTGATGGTGGAGACGGAAGCTCTGTGCTGAGACAAGACAGTAGGAGAAAGGAAAGGTACCTGAGCCAGCAGATTTAGACTCCAAAAAACACAAGCATGTCCCATCCAGCCCAAGGTTGCATATGCTGAGTGACAACAGCCGAGGAAGTACTTACAGATTTGTATATCTGCTCATTAGGCACATTTCCTCTTGTTATTCCAACCTGAGCAGGTCATTTTCCTTTGGGATTTTACCCTGCACTGAATTGACTTTTTTCTTTCATTCTCTATTCCCAAGACACCATATTAAGCCTGCGATGACTCCAATCTGTATTACTCCTTCTTCATGGACTTGCTTGCCCTCCAGAGTTCTAACCTCCTAACGCTTTACTCTATTCCCCATTCCCGAGGGAAGGTTTTCTCCTAAGTCTAAACTAAGGAACTTGTCTTAACTATGTTCCTTGGGTCTCCAAGGTATTCACTTGTGATGGGAACACAGCCCTTGATATCTCCAGAATGATCGCTATTTTCCCCTTCAACAAGGGGGTGAACTCTGTTCTGATATAAAACCATGAGTCCTACACTTCTTGAATTCATGATGCTTTTGCCCAAACAATTAGAAATTCTGTGCTTCTTAAAGAAGTTAAGAGCTGTCATTTAATTCTTCGTGTATAAAACATCTGGTTCCTCTTAAGAGATATATTTGGCTCTTTTTATGCAAGTTGCCCTGAGAATCGCACCCTCTAGAGATTATTTTATTTAATTTTTCAAAATTTATTTATTTATTTAAATTGACAGATAAAATTGTACATATTTATCACATAAAACATCACATTTTGAGATATATACATTACAGAATGGTTAGATCTAGCTAATGGATATATGGTTTACCTCACATAGCTATCGTTTTTGTAGTGAAAACACTTAACCTCCACTCTCTTAGCATTTTTCAGAAACACCATGTATCATCATATTAAATATAAAATCTTCATGCTATACTATAGCTCTGGTGAACATATTTTTCCTGGCTGCAATTTTGTATCCTTTGACAAACATCTCCCCACTCCTCTTCCCACAACAGCCCTAGCCTCTGGTAGCCACCGTTCTACTCTATAATTCTATGAGATCAACTTTTCCATATTCCATATGATTAAGATCCTGTGATATTTGTGTTTCTGTGCCTAGAATATTTCACTTAACATAAGGCTCTCTAGGTTCATTCATTTTGTTGCAAATCACAGCATTTCCTTCTTACACAGGGCTGTAGGGTATTCCATTATGTACATATGCCACATTTTAATATCCATTCATCCACTGAAGGACAGTTAGATTGACTTCATTTCTTGGCTATTGTGACACTGTAATAAACAGAAAAGTGCAGATATCTGTTTGATACTCTATTGTCATTTCCATTGGATAAATACCCAGTAGTGGGATTCCTGAGTTATATTCTATTTTTAACTTTTTGAGGAACGTCCATACTGTTTTCCACAATGGCTATACTCATTTACATTCCATGAACAATGTATAAAATTTCCCCTTTCTCCATATCCTTGTCAGCATTTGTTATTTTTCCTGTCTTTTGATAATAGCCCTGCTAGCTGGGATGAGGTGGTATCTCATTGTGGATTCGATTTGCATTTCCTTGATGATTCGTGATTTTGAGCACTTTTCATGGACCCTTGTACACTCGCATGTCTTCTTTTGAAAAATGCGTCCTCAGGTCATTGCCTATTTATTAATCAGATTATTTTTTCCCACTATTGAGCTTTCAAATACATTCTGGATAACCACTTTTCAGATGTATAGTTTGGAAATATTGTCTCTCATTCTATAGTTTTTCTCTTGGATCTGTCCATTATCTCTTTTGCTGTGCAGAAGATTTTTTAGTTCGATGTTATCCCGTTCATCTATTTTTGCTTTTGTTATCTATGCTTTTGAAGTTTTATTTTGAAAAATCTTTACCTTGACTAATTTTATGAAGCATATCCCGTATATCCCATATATTTTCTTCTAATAGTTTCATAGTTTTCAGTCTTCCATTTAAATATTTATTCATTTTAAGTTAATTTTTGTATATAGCAAGAAACAGGAGCCTAGTTTCCTTTTTCCGAATGTGGATATCCAGTTTTCCTAGTAGCACTCATTAAGGAGACTGTCCCTTCACTAATGTGTGTTCTTGGTACTTTTGTCTAAAATCAGTTGGTTGTAAATATATGTGTTTATTTATGAGTTTTCATCATTATTCCTTTGGCCCATGTGTATGTTTTTATGCCAATACGAAGCTGGTTTATGTACTATAGCTTCATAATATAGTTTGAAGTCAGATAGTGTGATGTCTCCAGCTTTGTTCTTTTGGTTCAACATTGTTTTAGTCATGTGGGGTCTTAGGTGGTTCCATATGTATTATACAATTTCTTTTTTTTGTATTTCTGTGAAGAATGTCATTGGTATTTTGACAGGGATTTCATTGTGTCTTTTGATTGCTTTGGGTATTATGGGCATTTTGGCAATATTGTTATTTAGTTATTTATTTATTTTTTGAGACAAAGTCTCACTCTATTGCCAGGCTGGA